AAATGACTCTTTTGGTGATACAAACATCTCTAACATCTATGCAAGCATCCCAAGAGGCTATGCAAAACTCTATATTAAAATTAAGCTTAGAGCAGAAGAGCATAGCAACTGAACAAAGAGAACATCTTGACAAGCTGGATAGCTCTGTTAAGGATGTATCAAACCAACTGGCAGATGTTCGACTTAAACCTGAACAGAATACACAAAAAATACAAGTCCATGAAAAAATTGAAACAGTAGACAAAGAAACACAATTATTAAAACAAACAAACAAACAAGTCATTATGGGATTCACTCGCTATATTAGAGATGGAGAAGGCATCCAATTATCTAAGGTTCCAGAACGTACCTGTGGGAAAGAATGAGGACTTATGGGAATTAATAATTACTATGCTGGCAGAGGCCTTGGATCTGGAAAACGAAGAGGTGGATACAAATATTGACCGTGTTTATAGGGTAAATCCAAGTTATGCTAGGAAACACAAACTTCCTAAGGAAGTTCATGTTAAATTTGCAAAAAGGTCTGTAAGAGATAATGTCTTGAGGGCCGTACATGATAAACCTCTAAAGGCTGATGATCATCACGAGGTGACTGTTTTGAAACAAATACCATGGAGGATTAGAGAAGGACAAAAGAAATACTTATTCCTTACCACGAAACTGATTAAGAAAGAGATCATGTTTAGGTGGCTAACTCCAGAAGAAATATTTTTCACCTGGAACTCTGCAAGATATAAGCTGGACTCTCTCTTCAAGGCACAAAAGTTTTATGAAAAATTTAGAAGCACATTTGAAGATGAAAAATCAGATGTTTCAAAAGAAGGAGGGAAAGGTGTTGAACCAATGGAATTAACAGCGTATCATCCTGAAGAAGGAGAAATAGTGAATACAGACTTACAACAAGATGAACAGACATTGGAACCAAAAGAAAATGAAAAAGGTAGAAGTGTAAAGGTGAAGCATAAGTAGATAAATATATACCCTTTAAAAATGGCTTTCAAAATGGAAGGAAGAATAGAACTGCTCTCTTTAAATGTAAATGGATTAAACGGACCCTCTAAGAGGAGAAGGATTCTCTCTCAACGTCAAAAACGGAAATTAGATATAATTTGCCTACAAGAAACAACATAGTAAGCTTTTGGAATGCTCAAAGCTTAGAAAGCTATTTATATCTTCCACTTCTCAAAAGAAAAGAGGTTTAGCATTATACATCAAGGAAAAATTAGACCCTAAATATATATTGGCTGATGAGGATTGTAGGATTCTGATGGTTGAAATCACAATGAAACTTAAAAAGGTGCTTTTGGCGGCAACTTATGCCCCAAACGACCATCAGGAAAAGTTTTACCAAAAACTACATGCTTTACTCTCAGAATTGGACTACCAGACCATGTGCTTAATGAGAGACTTAAATGCAATTGTGGACAAGAAAATAGACCATAAGAGTGAGACTAAGGACAGAAAAGGCAGGAGGATACTTCCAAAGTTCTGTTTTAATATGATTGAAGAATTTAGATTGATAGATGTCTGGAGACATAAAAATCCAACCTCTGCTAAATATACTTTCTACTTGAATAGACATAGGTTGTGGTCTACAACTGATATGATTTGGATAACCCAGATCTGCTAGAAGCTGAAATAGAGGCAAATGTCTGGGCAGATCATAACCCTGTAACTATGACATTGAAAGGGATAGTAAAAATGCCCAGATGGAGGTTAAATAAAACTTCATTAAAGGATAAAAAATTCAAAGAAGAGATAAATAAGGAAATGGAAATATCCTTTCAAATTAATAAAATTGAAGAAACCTCCCTGCAAAATGTCTGGGATACAGCCAAAGCCTATGNAGGATATTAAAGGATAAAAAATTCACAGAAGAGATAAATAAGGAAATGGAAATATTCTTTCAAATTAATAAAATTGAAGAAACCTCCCTGCAAAATGTCTGGGATACAGCCAAAGCCTTTATCAGAGGGCTGATAATAACATACAGCAAAAATAAATAAAAGGAGAAAGCAGGAACGATCTAAAATAGTAGAGAAATTGACGAAATGTGAACAGAAACTATAGTAAGATCCATCCAAAAAAGACCTTAAGGTACAAATGAATATTCTAAAACATAAACTGAATCTCTTGGATACAAATGAACTTACCAAGCAAATGAAATTAACCAAACAGAACTTCTTCGAAAATGCTAATAAACCAGGAAGATGGTTAGCTTATAAAGTAAAGAAGGTAAGAGAGAAGAGACTAATAAGTAAATTGAAGGATAGAGAAGGACTGCAAGCACAAAGTATACATATTAAGAAAATATCGGAAGATTTTTTTTGCAAAGCTGTACCAGAATGATGAGATTCCAACTGAGAAAGTAAATGAATATATCTGAAAGGGAGATTTACCAAAGCTACCGGAGAAATACCAAGTATTGAATTAACAATCACAGAAGTAACAATCACAGAAGTAATGGAGGCAATTAAGAGACAAAAGAATGACAAAAACCCAGGCCTGGATGGGCTACCAGCAGAGTTTTATAAATCCTTTGAAGGAATCTTCTCTACACTTTTTAAGGATATATGTAATATTACATTGATACCGAAAGAAGACATGGACTTGATGCAGATTCAAAATTATAGACCTATATCACTATTAAATGTGGATTACAAAATTTTTGCCTCCACAATGGCCGAAAGATTAAAGAAGTATTTAACAGACTTTATACATTCAGATCAAAATGGTTTTTTACCTAAAAGACAAATGAGGAATAATATAAGAATTATCTTGGACGTCTTAGAGTATTATGAGATACATTCAAAAAAACCAGTGGCACTGCTATTCATGGATGCACAGAAGGCTTTTGAAAATGTTAATTGGCAATTTATGAAGCAACAACTAGTTCAAATGGAGTTTGGTGAAAAATTTATTAATGCGGTATTAAGTATCTATCAAAAGCAGTCTGCTAGGATTATAATCAATGGAGAATTTACATAGGCTATAGATATACAAAAGGTTACAAGACAAGGATGCCCGCTATCACCTCTGTTGTTTATATTGATCCTAGAAGTCTTAAACAGAAATATCAGGGATGATATGGACATTAAAAGTACTAGAATTAGAGATGAAAGCTATAAATTGCAAGCATTTGCAGATGACCTAGTTTTTATAACTGAGGAACCCTTAATAACAATGCCTAAACTCCTACAAAGGATTGAAGAGTATGGTGAGGTTACTGGGATGAAAATAAACAGAGAAAAGACAAAATTGTTAGTAAAAAATCTCACACAGGAGCAGCGAAAAACTCTGGTGGAACAAGTAGATCTTCAAATTGTTAAAGATGTTAAATATTTGGGATTTTTTCTTACAGCTAAGTGTACCACATTGAAAGAAGACAATTATGATAAACCATTCAAGAAAATTAAGAGTGATTTGGAAAAATGGGCTAATTTGCAATTATCTTTGCTAGGAAGAATAGCGCTAGTTAAAATGAATATATTACCAAAGCTTTTGTTTCTATTTCAAATGATTCCCATAAAAATTGATAATTTTTTTTGATGATTTAAATTCTCAAATCTCGAGATTTTTATGGAGAAAGAAGAAACCAAGGATTAAATTAGAAATGCTTCAGGAGGCTAAAGAGAATGGGGGTTTTGGTTTTCCCAACTGGATGTTGTATTATCAAGCTTCTGTTTTAACGTGGTTAAAATAAGGGATAATTTTAAGAAATGAGAGAATCTTATATCTCAAAGGGAATGATTTGCAAATGGGTTGGCATGCTTATATGTGGTATGAAAAGTGTAAGGCACATGGTTGTTTTTAAATCATTATATTAGGAAATCATTAATGTCGGTGTGGGAAAAGTTAAAGATAAATGCTAAAACAGAAGCTTGATAATACAACATCCAATCAGGGAGACCAAAACCCCTGTTCTCTTTAGCCTCCTGAAGTATTTTTAATACTTTTAATTTTTTTAATATTTTAATATTTTTAATTTTTAATTATTATTTTTAATTCCTTGGTTTCTTCTTTCTCCATATAAATCTTGAAATTTGAAAATTTAAATCATCAAAACATTTTCTATCAATAGGCTATCACTTAACTTTTTGTGGAGCTACATGGGCTTCCCTTCCACTTTTCTCTGGATGGAATTGTTCATAGTTGTGCTTGAAGAATCTTTGTTTTCTTTCCCAAGATTTCCCACCCCCCTTGGACCCCTTTTCCCTTAAGAGTGAGTTACCATGACACCTCGCTTACCATTGTTCTGAGTTCATCAAACTTGGCTTTCTTGAATTCAGGGTTCATGTTTGACTTCAGTTACCCTTTGTCTCCTTTGTAATTGAGAATTCAAGTATCACATGATCACTTTCCCCCAGGGTTCCCATAGCTGCTGTTTTGTCTACTGGGTCATCCTTGTTAGTATTAAAATCAAGGATAGTTGATCCTTCCTCTACCTTCTGCTGGAGGAAGTTGTTGGCAACACATATCAGGAATCTCTCGGGGAGGCCATGCTTGGCAAAATTTGTTTCCTAACATAAATCAGGGGAATTTTCTTATACTCATTTCTCAACCCAAAAGGAGCAGAAGAAATTCTTCAGATTCATGATTTTAAAGGCTGATTACAAGTAGAACAGGTTAATTTCATCCCAAATTAGTTTTTCTTTTGTTATCTGACAATTGTTAATTATTTTTCACTGGTTAATGGAAATACTGTTTAAAGGAAAGCTTTTATTATACAGTATGAGCATTGCTCATCTCACAAAGGCATACCTAGATCTTGGTTATGTGCTTTGTCTTGTCCTTCAAAATACAGTAAGCTGTAGCCACTCCAGAGTTTGTTCATACCGACTGGACACATTGGCTTGTGAACAGACTGGCTGTGCTTTACCAGAAGGTATCCTATGTTAATGCTGCGGCCTGGTATCCCTGGCAGTCCAGGAATGCCTGGACCTGGAGAGAGGGAAAGCAAAAAAAGAAAAAAGAAAAAAAAAGGCACAGGTGTTACAGTACACAAACTGATGTTAAAATTGCAAAGAGCAGTGTGATGAAGGGGGGCACTGTAGCATGCTTTCGTACACACCAGTGACTTACTGGGATCCACATTAAAAATATTTACTGTGAGTCAATGCATACGAGTGCCATGTTCAATTTTTAAAACACAGAATGTACAGTTTTAGGCAATTTTTATTTTAAGTGTTTTAGTGGGGGGGGTGTATGTGTGCACAAGTGACATTTTATCAATTAGCTTAGTCCAAGGATCCTCAAACCATTTCTGCTGGTGGGGATATTATGAATTTTGAAAAAATATTATGGGCACCTTCTCAAAATGGTTGCCATAGGGCGTCTCTCCACAGCATGCGGTGGGCACTGCCAGTCACAAAATACCCAATTCATGGAAGGGCGAGATGACGCAAGGAGTACTTAAGCTGCAAAATGTTACCCCACTCCTTTGAACTCATCTCTGTCTCGAACACCCCTGCCCCCACCACACACACTTCTCTCCCTGTCTCACTCATTCACACCGGTATATGCTCTCTCTATCACAGCATACACATACTGACTCAGTTCACACAAATGTAGGGTAGGTATCAAGCTACAGTGGTTGGCTAGCTCCATCAAATGCCCTTCAAATTTCCCTAATTCTCTTGTTAGAACAGCTTGCAGTGTCATCCTAATCTGGGTGCATGATTTGAAGGGCAGCAATAGGTAAAGAAATCAGGGCCTGTTGGGTTATTTGAGAGCTGCTCCTTCTCACTGCCCTATCATCTGGGCTGGATGACAGAAGTTGCACCAGTGAGGGATGTTAGGAAAAATCAACCAAGCTGCTAGGTGGGAGTTTTATTTGTGGGCATATTAGTGCCCACACACTCCACATTAGGGAGCCCAAAATTCAGGAGCATTTTGAACTAAAAAGCTGTTGAGGATTTTTAATGTTTAAAGTATAGTATTTAATATAAATACTTAGGAACCCAGAGGGCAAGCACCATCCACCAAATGATGCCTGCAGATGTATCATCTAGAAACAAAGTATGTTGGAATTTTTTTTTTCCTATAAAATGTATGCAGATTTAATTGATCATGATGGCTTCAATCCTATGTTCATTTACCTGAAATTACTCTCCATGGAAACCAATGGCACTTTTGTCTGACTAGATATGGATAGGAATGCATTGTAACATTCAGAATTAATTAAACTTTCTTCAGGCAGTTTGAAAGCCCTGGTAGAGAGAAAGGGGAAAGAATTCCAGGAATGCCATTTACCTTCAAAGCCCCCAGGGCCCTGTAGTCCAGTTCTCCCTTGATCACCTCTGAATCCTGGAGGTGCTGACACTCCCCCTCTTCCTTGCAATCCTTGTTTACCTGTTGGGCCTCTTAAACCTAAAAAAGAATCAGAGTTGTGACCACTCTATAGCAAGATTATCATGAAGATGAAAGAAAGTCCAACGGAGTAGCAAAAGTCCAAAAGCAGCAATGCTTATATGTCTTGTATCCTACCTGGATCTCCTGATGGACCTTGAGGACCCATTTCACCCAAACTGCCTTGAGGCCCTCTGCTTCCATGGGCACCCGAAGTGCCTTGGTCAGCAACCAGTTTAGGAAGGACAGGAGGTGGTCCAGGGGAACCTGGAGGTCCTTGAGGCCCTAACAGTTCATAATCCAAAATAAAGTAAACGACTTTGCATTAATGACTCCTCTTTTAATTCAAATAAATCCTTATTTACTTGTTTTAAAATTTTATAGGCCACCATTTACTGAAAGTCTCCCAAGGTGGCTACAAAATTAAAAATCACATGCACAATAAAACATTGGTAACAATAATGCAGCACTAATGAAACCAAAATTAATGCTTGTCACTAGCTCCTACAAGAGTTCCAGACAGTGCATCCACTCTTGCCAGAACAATTGATCCAAACCAAATATTCTTATAAATACTTTCCAGCTAACATGAGAGAATCTGGACCCACATGTAGGTGGGAGATCAAGCAGCATTTTGTCATCTCTTGGTGCATTGACACAGTCACATATAGATTCTCACTGCATTGATTCTTTGCTAATAATTGCGCAGATGAGTCCAGTCACCTACAGTATCTCTATTTTCCATCAATCCTTGCTGGGCTTCCTCCTCCAGAGTGCCCTTTCTGTGTGACCAGCCTGCTCTGACAAGTCCAGTAATGGTGGAAGAAGAAGAGAATAAAGTGGCCAATATTTTGGACTACCATCTCCACTATGGCCACTGGCGATACCCTCTTCTGAGTATTACAAAATAACCATCATGGGAAGATGCCTCTAGTGTTTGTGCTCCAGACCTGCTCTCCTGGTTTCAGCAGTGGTATCCAGAGAAGCCTGGCTCTCTGAGTGTGGCAGGGGGAAGTTGTGGGCAGAGGAATGATTCAGAATCTTCTGTGGAGGGAACTTCCTCCTCCTCTGAGAAGCTAGAATTCCCTAACACAAAACAAAGCTGTAGTATTCCCTCTGTTGGGAGATATGAGAAAGCCTGGATTTAGGAGAGAGGACCATGGGTCTGTTCCCACTGGAAGGTAGGAGACAGGCTGGGTGCTTTCCTAGTCTCAGAGAGCACTGTTGCATTAAATGGCAGATCAAAAGAGGAGGGTAACAAGGATGACCAGGGGCCTGGAAGGAGAAGAGATTAAAGAGGAGAGATTAAAGCCCTGTGAGGAGAGATTAAAGAGTTGGGCATGTTTAGCCTTGAAAAAAGAAAATGGAGGGGAGATAAGAGAGCACTTTTCAAGTACTTGAAAGGCTGTCATGCAGAGGAGGGCCAGGATCTCTTCTCAATCATTCCGGAGCACAGGGCATCCCAGAGTGCAGGGCACTCTGGGACTTTAGTGGCAGGAAGCTAGATTCTGGCTAGGTATCAGGAAAGCTTTCCTGACAGTTAGAGAAGTGCAGTATTGGAACCAATGACTTAGGGAGGGCTCTCCCACACAAGGCAATTAAGAAGCAGTTGGACAGCCATCTGTCAGGGATGCTTTAACTTGCAATCCTGCATTGAGCAGGGAGTTGGACTTGATGGTCTTACAGGCCCTTTCCTATTCTACAATTCTGTGATTCTAAGACAGCAAGAAGAGACTCAGATAGAAAGAATGATTTTTCTGAACATGTGTTCCTAGATCAACAATTTCTTGTGTTACATTAGTAAAATGTTGAAAATGAAAATAGAGATTCATCAGAGGGCTTCTGGTTCCTGACGCATACCTGAGCAGATCAGAGGAAGCTGCCCCAGCTGCTGTATGGTCTCTGGGATACAGGCAGCCAAACTCCCAAAGAGTGAGTGACCAAGGTGAGCTAACAGGAGTTTGGTGGCAGAGTTTGGCAAGGGAGGTCCCTACATTTTTACCCCCCCCCCCCCCAGTTCTCCTCATTTTGTTTTCTTCCAGGTAACACACTCCCATTTTTACTGGTAGGACTCTGTTGTTAACCTTTAGTGAAGGCAGGAGAAAGCACTGGTTCTTACAACAGGCCCAGCAAGCTAGAATCAAAAAGGGAGCAGTAACAATGGACCAAGAATACTCTCCAGTTGTGGTGACCTGCAATGTCTGTGCAATGTTTGCTTTCTTGCCCAAGGTCTACATGGCCTACATGGACAACAAGTGCAAGCTAGTAGTCCTGCTGGAAGAAAAGGTGAGAGAAGTAGAGCAGCAAGAGAAGCAGCAAGTTTTTAGATAGATCAGTGGACTGCAACCCTAAGTGTAGTACAGGAGCTAGAAGTGCAACAGCAATGACAATACTGGAGGAAGGGGAAATGAGGAGGAACTTCCTGGAAGAGAGTGGCAGTTAGGAGCTGCAGAACTAGAAGACACTGCACCAGTGGGCACAGTGGAACTATGGAACTGCATTCAGCATCTCCTGCATTCTGCATTCATTCATGCTGCATTCAGCATGATGATGAGAATGGAGGGTAGTTTGGCATGGAAGACCTTGAAAGTCATCCCATGCAACACTGAAGAAGAGGCTAAAGGTCAACACAATAGTGGCAAGACTTGCAAGACCAAGAAAAGTAACGTGTTAGTTGTAGGAGACACTCTTGTTTTGTGGAATAGAAACACATGTATGTTGGGAAGACCTGTGGACTTGGCAAGCGTGCTGTCTCCCTGGAGAACAGATTAGTGATGTAACTGAATGACTGCCAAGGCCAATGACAGCCCACTGATACATATCCTTTTCTTCTTATATATGTGGGAAACAAATGACACTGCCAAGCAAAGCTTTGAAGAAATTGCATCAGAATTTGAAGCTCCAGGGAGGAAAGTCAAGAAATTTGGGGCCCAGATGAGTTTTCTCCTCGGTCCTTCCAGTGTTTGGAAGAGGAAAGAGCAGGAAAGAAAAATCTTCCAAGGTAATGTCTGGCTACA